AAGTGGGCTGGGGTGCCAACACTGTTGTCTGGGAACTCCCTCCACCCGCCCGCAGCAAATATGGATATGGAGATGGGCATCACGGGCTGCTTGGGAGCAGCGTCAGCCTCTGATGAGATGACTGGCAAGGAGAGGGCAAAGCCATGAAGTGCCTGAAAGGTGAAGAACAACTTGGTTTAAAGCTGACGTATTTGTGTCATGTCTTGTGCTTTTGTTTGTTTTTATTTTTGTTTACTTTTATTTAGTGTTTCTATTTGAAGTCCTCGGTCCCCACCAACTTTGCTGGGGGTTGAGCATGACTTTCCCCTGTCTCCACGTCTGCCATGGTCACCCAATTTCTTGGTTTTAATCTATCTATCTGCTTCACTGCACTTTAGGGGGCTCAGTTCTTGCCCACTTAATTGAAGTGTATCACTTTTTGACTGCCTGACAATGGTATTATAAATGATCTATTGCATTTAAACACGTCTGAGAAATTGGTTGAGGAATCCTCGCATTTTTTTCTGTGCTCGGGGGACGTTTCATCGTTCTCAGAAGATTCCCCAGAGGGTTCATGGAGTCTCAGAGCATCTTCCCTAAAACTACGTTCTGCCCTGTTAATGTATCTCAATGTACAGCATTGAAGAAGTGGTAACCCAGAGTTACGTGGTGTCCTATAGTTAGGACAACTTTCCCCATGAGGCCAGACAGCCCTTCTCTGTGGCAGCAAGGGAAGCCACGAGAACCCCGCCTGGGGCTGGTGAGCTCAGCTGTGCCTGCTGGTGAGCTCAGCTGTGCCTGCTGGGAAGGGAAGGAGAGCGAGGGCCTCTGAGTGAGCCTTGGGCACCTCAGGAGGCTCCAGCTGGTCTGTCACAGCACGAAAGCGCGAGGCCAGACCTCCCCATGCAGCAGCTGGCGGCTGGGATGCAAAGATGCACCCTGTGCTGAACATTGACCTTGTGAGTATGTCCCTGGCTGCACCCAGGGGACATGCTGGGGCTCAAGGGTGGCTGTGGGGTGGTACGAGGAGCCCGCAGCTGGTTGTCCACTGGGGAGCTCCAAGAGTGACATCTGTTTATTTTCCTTCATATTCCTCTCAGAAAGAAAAATGAGTCCAAGGAGTCAAAGTGTACGACACTGAGAGTTGAACCTGACAGGCTAGATCAAGGGAGGTAAATCTGATCTCAGCAAGAGTCCTGAGTCTTTCTATGTTTCCTTAGTGCTCTGTGCTGAGATCTTCTGGTGACAGCAAAAGTGGAAACCCTGGCCTGAGATGAGCTGAGTAGAAGGGACTTTGCGTATTGGCTCACAGTTTGCTTTGAAGTGTCATGGGAAAAGGGAAGACACTTTGAAATTCATCTCCTGCCCTGCCCTTTTTCCTGAGCCATGCTTGGTTCCGTGGGCCCCGGGACAGTGTCCACGGGAGGCTGTGGGAGCCCTGCTAGTGCAACAGCTGCTCTTCCAAGGTGAACTTTCCCACCTTTAACTGCTAACCCAAACTGAACTGAGATTTATTGTGGCCGCTGGGAGTTTGACGTTGGGTTTAGTGCCCCAAACCTGAAGGCAGGCAAAGCAAGGGCTTCC